CTGACCAACCCAAACTGCTGGTGATCATCTCTAAAGCAGAAAAATCCATACACAGCCTCAACAAGCAACAGGCTGGTAACTCAACCATCCAGTACAATAACAAGAGCAAATCCTCTTTACTGTAGTGTCACCTGAAGTCATGAGAAATGATCAGCATTTCCTGTAAAAACACAGCCTCAGGGAACTTCCAGCTCTTCTGGAGCCTGAGAGCAGTTTGGTAGTGCTGCCTTCTCAAAACACCCAAATACCTGAATATTCAGCTTTTGAGAAGTATCAAATAGCTCCCACTACACATATGCTGTTATTCCTGCTTTACAGACAGCACTCAGCCATCAGCTCTGGAACATCTGAACTCYTCTCCAGGAGAGCAGGAGAAGATGAACCCCAGGAGCTGAGCAGAACACTCAGTGTGAGAGAGGGAACCTCTCCTGTCAGAGCTGTGTAAAACAAACTGAACTGTTTCACAGTCTGTAAAACAAACTGAACAGTGTCACTGGGAATTTAGTTCAAGGATCTCAACCACTTCCTCCTTTTAATAACTCTCATCTGAAACACCTGTCCCTCATTAATTCTCAGAATATACTGACTCCCCCATAAAAAGCACTTGAATGTTTAAACTGGGAAACAGCSCTGTCAAACCAGTGAGCACAGTTCTGTTTAGCTCTCCTGCACCATCCAAAGCAGAGAGCACAGCAGCACAGCCTTTCTGCCATCCAGGAACTCCTGCAGTGCTGCAGTTACCTTGGGTGATTTCTGTTATAGAAAAAAGCAGTAAACACAACCAATGGGAGTTTGTCTGCATCAACCATCATTTGCTGCCACCTACAGCAAAGGTCACCCCCAGATGTGCCAGCTCAGTTTCCAAACTGGCAAACCCGAGGCATTCCAGGCTCTGTCAAGGTTCCATTCTCACTGCTGCTACACACACTCACAAACACAGCCTTCAGGAAAAAACTGAGATCAGGTCAGGTCTGTAGCTGCAGGAGAGCTCAAACCCCTGCAAAGGTCATGAGCAATGTGAACAAAGGGGTAACACTGAGCACTAATGCAAATCAACTATCATGGACTGTGCTGGTATGGATTTGCAGAATACACACCTTTTTCTTTAGGAGCACAGCAGAATATGGA